TGTGAGAGAGCAAGAGAGCGATCTCTTTTATTCTCCAGAGTGGGTTTGATGCAATAGTAATTGCAGGGGAGGAAATTTCACTTCATTTACAGTGGGCCTCTATAGGAGCAGTGGCTTCGCAGGTTGAGTTATTGACATCAAAAACAAGATTGTGGAAGAGTGAGGTGATATGGCCTGTAATCCAGCTTCCAGGACGGGGGAAAGCAATCTGTTGGGAACCGAATGGGTTAGGTGGTGTTTTGCCTCCACTGACGTGTCTGGCACAACAATGAGGCCCGTCTGTTTCAGCAACGGCTCCAGTCACCTGCTCACATGGCTGCTGCGGGCTGTGATAGATCGGCAACGAAACAAGGAAGAAGTGGAAGTGTAATCGAAAACATGCCAGGAATGGAGACAAGTGACATACGTGGCTCACTGGCCCAAATCAAAGCCCCCTTCACGCCGCTGTCACTAATGTGTTGCTTTGCGGGAGGCAGGATTCAATGGCAAACATTCGCTGATCCATATTCTTTTGCTCTCCCCATTTCTTTCACTCCTCTCCATTTGGCAGAGTCTTTACGGGTACGGTTTCAACGGCTCGATGCATGAGTGATGCCCGGCCAGATTGCCGGTGTTATAGCAGAGTGGAGTCAGAGGTTGGGAAACCAAAGGTGATGGAAAGAAAATAAGATATACCTTCGAATAAGCATCAAAGTGTGCAGGAAATAGAGGTGCTGGGTGAGCGTGGGCTGGGTTTTGGCGTGACCACTACAAGCAGACTCATTTTGTTTTCTGAGAGCATTGTCATGGCCTCTGACTATGCAGTAGGTTGGAAAAGAGAAGAAGTTTTGAGATACGGTTGGGTACCTGGTACATGGAGGGGTCAGATTTTGAATCGGGGGCGGTTGAAAGCTAGTGATGTGTTTAGGAAGGATGGAGATGACAATGAAGCAGGAAAAAGACGACTCTGGCTAAAAAAAAAATACCATCATATGGTGCACTTAGGATTCGGCTATTGGGGTTCCTACAACGCTAGTGACTACTTGTTCGGTCTACCAGCAACACTAGAAAGTGAACAATGCGACATCCGACGCACATGGCACCCTTTAGCGTTAATATGAGACGTAGATATATATGGGCCAGAAGTCGCCTCCTAGTGGTCTAACCCTAACCCTACCCCAGACCTAAACCTACCCATAACCGAAGCGTGTGTAAAGAGTGCCATGTGCGTTGGATTTAGATGATGCGCTAGGATGAGAATGTGTTGATTATGTATAATAAAAAACTTTTACTGTTTGTGTTCATGGTTCCATTTTGTTGAAAAACATTTTCTGTCACAGAATTATGTGTACAGTAAATTGCAATTTGCATGTAGCTTAATATATCTAGGGTAAACAAGCCTAGATGCTGCTCACAGCTCAAAACATTTCAAAGTGACGGAACATCTGTACAGTCTCGTCTGTCATTCAGGTTACAGGAGCGTGTTTGCAGATGTGTCTTAGGTCAAAGCCCAGCAGGGGGGGAATTGCCAGCAAAGCTAATAGTCTGTTTAAATAACATCTGCTTCAATGTTGTGCACACTTACAAGTGCAATAGTTCAAACACAATGGTACATAAACCAGCTATTTAATTAATTTTCTCTCTAATATTTGATTTAGTAAGAATCATCTTTTAGTAAACACAGACTGGGTTTATGGGATTTGGAAAGCTCTGAATGTTTGCCAGCAACTGACGGGACTTTATTGTTGTTAATTTCTTTCTTATTTTATTTCACTTCCGATTCAGGTTTAAAAATGTCCAACTCAAAGGTTATAAGAATTGTGTGTGGCTCTAAGGGGTGAGCAATTGTACATCTAGGTTTGGCATGTTTGTTTACATTTGATTCATATTAAGTCAATTAAAAGTGAAAAAAAAAAAAAGAGATTAAATGAAGTTTGGTGGTGTTCAGGGCATTGCACTTGTGGAAATGAAATCTGGATTGGAATTGATGACATTTGTTTATCTCATAAGACTATGAGCAGGACGTTTTGAAAACATCTTGCATCTTGTAATTTGCAATTAAAAGTTAATAATCTCCACGCCTTGAAGCTGTTTATCAAATGATAGGCTAAGACTTTGAGACTTTCAAATGCGAAGGAATACACATTCCAAGTGCCTTCACCTATTTATTTCTCCCGCAAGGACACTTGATCTTCCAGTAGTTGTGAACTCATAATTATTATTATTATATTTTTGTTTTTGCAAAAGGAAAGGATAAATGAGGGGGGTAGATTTAGCCCTTGCATCTTCCAAGTATTTAATCTGTTGAAAAGCAAATATTTTCTAATGGGCAACTTGTGAGATAACTTATGCTATCACTTTACATACTAGTGCAATGAGAACCATTAGAAAGAGGAAAATTGAGATTCAAAGTCTTCAAGAGTATGGTGGCAGTGAGTAACCTTTTGATAGTTGCTGATCTCTGTCCCTCCATTTTCTCATGGCCTGAGATTAATGGTGAGTGGACACATAAGAAGAAAATGATGGTGATATTTTAGAGAGTATATAATTAGTCCAGTGGGCAAGGTAGAAAAGTGACCTCTTGAGGTTAACTCACTAAATCCCAGAGTTCTGCAAAGGTAATGTTCAAAATTCAGGAGTCTGGCTATAGTGAGCAGATTTGACCACCTCGCGTCATGGCGGATGTGATGATAGATGTTTTTCTTTGATGAAGGAATTTTTTTGTTTTTTTTTCCCTTAAGCTTTTCCCAAGTTTTTCAAGCAAGCAACCGTAAGTGGTTCAGAAATTTTGTATTCAGGATAATTCACAGTTGGGATTCAGTTTTCTCCACTTTCAAACGCTTGATCAGATATCAAAGCCTCCAGCGGGATTGGCTGATCCAGGCTATGTGGAAGTCTGCCGAGAGTACACCTGCCCTAAACTCAGCCTTCAGTCGGGAAGGCTGAGTCATGAAGCGAGGGGTTGAGGGACCACTTCAGCTGTCAGGTAAGAAATACTGGGAAGAGCGGGAGTCACACTCCCATTCCTGTCATCACTACGGCTCAGACCAGGCTTCTTGACATGGTAAAGACAGCTAAGAGATCACTCTGCTACAGAGCTTGCATATATTACAAGCACAGGTTAGAAGATCTGGTCACCTTGTTTTTTTTTTTCCTCTGTGTGCAGAGCTACTGGTTAGTTAGTCAAGTTTTTTTTAATTTTCTTATTATTTTCAGCCTCTCATAATTAACATAACAAAGTCTCAGGTGCTACACACAGAGACAGAGACTAAGCAACATTATAGGCATTACCGTCTACATTTTGTTCAAATATATTCTTTTGACTGACATATAAAGTCTTGGAAGTAAATAATTAGTTTTTTCCAGCCTAGTTTGTTTGGTCCTTTTTATTGGGGAGGATAATTTGTGTTCCAGAGGTTAAAGTATGTTTTCATACTAGCACTTTAATTTATAGCCCTGTTTCGCATGAACATATTATGTACTTATTGTAGTAATGACCTAAATTAGGTACTAACGGATAACCCCTAAACCCCTTAACCCATGTAGATAGCTTACACTTCTCAGTACGTTTGTGGGTAGGTACATTGTAAGTACAATGCAAGTGCAATGTACTGTACAAATAAAGTGCAACCCTACAATGATTCAGTGCTTTTCTAGGACCAGGAAATTAAGCGTTGAATAGCCACAATTATCACAAAGCCACTATCCCCCTGGTGACCAACTTGACAGGAAATTAAACTAGACTGAGATGAACTTGAGGTTCTTGGTTTTGAGTTCGTGTGGGATAATTAGCCTTATCAGTGCCCGTTGAGGCCGTTCTAAAGCAGCACTAATTAAGTCCCAATTAATAATGACCACAGCAGGAGGGAATCATGATAAACAAAACAGCCTGTACATCATCACTTTCAAAGCATTTCCTCCAGTCAATTCACCAATCAAACATATTTGCAAGTTGACAATGGTAAATGATGTTCCGGTCATAAGGCGGTTGTGATACTCGTAGTAGTGGGATTTAGGTGACTATTTTGTCTATGGTAAGTGCAGATAAATCATTTATAGAGGGGAGCAGCAGAGAGAAACCACAGACCACATAATTTGTCTTCTTTCTTCCTCTAATTTCCCTCACTACATCCTCCCATGCAGGTCATTATTTTAACTTTTCATTAGTGGAGATCAATAAAGCAAATCGCATTCCGGCACCACTTCACCAATCTTGACCACACTCAGTGCTTTCTCAGTAACCCACAGTTTTGCCCTCTGGTGCGGGAGCAAGAGCTATAACTTGGTGGGTGTAGGTGGTCTTTTTTTTTTTTTAGAGCAGACAAACCTACCAGGTGGTTGATTACCTCAGCACAGATAGCACTGTTGCTGCCCAATATCGCAGAAACAGCAACTCTGAATAATAACCCAATAAAACTTAATTAAGATTCAATGACCTCTCTGGTTTAATAATGAAGACGGTGGGATTTACAGGAGGAAATTAAAAGTGAGAACTTATGGTTCTGCAGGGGAGTTTGGTCAGTGAAAAATCTATTTTTAATACTGTACATTATTTTTCGCTGATCTCATAATAGTTTGAGATCACTCTAATCAGTCTATGTGCATGTTTTGATTTAATTTGTAAATTAAGTAAATTAGAAAATGTAATTGAATGTTAAGAAAGGGACATTTGAGGTTGCAAATAAGCTTTTGATAAAAATACACTCAGAAAAAAACAAGGTACAAAAGGTAAACTCCAAAAATTACACTCTGGGTTGTTTTAACCAAGCTTTGGGTCAAATATGGACAAACCCAGCCATTGGGTTATATTTTTTAATGACATTTTTAACCCAACGTTTGGGTTTGTCCATATTTGACCCAAAGTTGAGCATTTTTAGAGTGTACAATTACAGTACCAATGCACCCTTTAGTTAAAAAAAAGTGTACCTTTTGAAAAGGTACAGCTCCAGTGACAGCTTCCGTATCTTTTTTATTTTTCCTGAGAGTGCATGCAAATAGTTTTACCCGCAGTCGTGACTAACCTAGGACAGTAAGTCGAGCGGGACGGGACCTCATGGCGGCCTGGATGGCCTGGCACTCAAACACAGCATCATCCATCAGCTCCACCCTCTGGATTCGCAGGTGGTGCTCGCCAGTTCCATGATCCCCAACCACAGCATAGCGAGGATAACCTGGAAAACAGGGAAGTTGACTGGTTAATACCACCAAGTCCAGCAGTGACTGCTTTAAAAATAAATTGTGTGTGCTTTTAAACATTTCTAGGTAGATCAAACCAGGGAAATTGTAGCTTGTCAGTTTCAGAGTCGCACTAACCGAGCGCCTAAATTAAAGAGTTTTTCGTGACAGTGTAAGGTAATCCTCGAATGCCACAGGGAGTAAGTGTTAAAGGCTGATGCAAGAGTGGCTGTTTGTTAGCAACCACTGCGATATCAAAAGAAAATCAGTTGAATTTATTGTATATTATTTACAGATACGGGAGATTTCGTCTGTACATGTGAAAAACAACGAAATTTCTCGTAGCTTATTTCTTACGTTCAAGTGCAAAGTGAAAATAATGATGACTTGTTTCCCTCAGGACAATAAAAACACCCAATGTGAGACAAGTATCAGCACATCTGTGACCTTTCTAAAATAAAGGAAAGATGAGCAGATGTGTGAGTCTCTCTAATGGTTGGGGTGAGACTTTCTGAAGGTAGGGGTGTGATTTTGTGCCGGTCGGAGTGAGACTTTGTGCTGGTTGAAGTGATGACTGAGGTGAGATGATGGTTGATTGAGGTGAGGCAATCTGCTGGTTTTGCTATAATATGTTCAGCTGCTGCTGTAGGTGTAGTACTTAGCAAGCAGCACACAGAGCCAAGAAGATTGAGATGTGTTCAACTGATGCAGAGGAACGGTGATTTGCGGTTTAATAATACATTCAGCAGGATGTATTTCAAGGAAAACTGACTGTTTTACAACAGCGAGCAGATCCGAGGGCCTTTAAAACCCATCAGCAGACTATTTCCTGGGAATTTGCATGAGGAGCGAACGCAAAAGCTTGCTTTGTCACTATAGGAAATGTAAATTGGGGAGGAGACGTTTGATTGTGTCATACTTTACGGTACATTTCACAAGCTCTCCGTGAGAATGTCTTTAATGTCTCTCGGGAGGCAAATACTTCTAATTATGAGAGATCTGCAATTTCCAATGAGACTCCTAAAAAGTGCTGTCATTGCTGTCTCTTTCCAAGTCGGGACAGTAATTGATGGCTGATGGGTGATACGGATTTAATAGCATCAGAAGCTGATCTCAGCGTATTTCTCCACAGAGCCGAGCGCTGTGCATTTTCCCCTCAATTTAATTCAATATTGCTTTTTATGTGGCTAAATTTACACCTTCAGAAGTGATCTCGCTTTAAGTTCCTGCTTCCAGTCTCCACAGAGCAGCCATTTGAATCTTTGCCAGTGAATGACCTGTGGCAGAATATTGATTTTTACAGCATCCATCGATATGATTCATGTTCGCTCCAGAGAATTTTCTGTGACATAATCGTCATGCACCCTCATGCTCTCGGGGCACTCAACGGCAAAAAAAAAGCATATGTTGGCTCTGAAAAGCATACGTTTCAAACTGAAAGGATTAAAAACAGCATGTGTTTTTTTGTGGTTGATAGGGTTTATATAACTGACTCCACTTGTTTAGAGATGCATCACCCATTGTCAATTCGAAAGGGCATCCCGATATCACCTATATCTTCTCGAGTGCTGTGTGGTACGAAGCCCAACCTATTCCTAAACTCTACCATGGGGCTATTACTGCAGCAACCACTGTAATCTACAGCAATGAGGCTTGAAAGAGGGATGTGCTTTAACATATTGCTGCAGAAAGGAGTGAAAAATGAACTGGACTGGACTGGACTAATGGCTTTTAAGTCCTTGAGCCTGCCTGTTGAAATCACTGTGCCAGAAAATGCCAATTATTGCCTGTTGCCTCATTGGATCCCATTCACTTTTAATAGACCATGAAGTGTCTCTCATTTCCCCTATTGAGGAGAGAGCAGCAGACAATTATGGTGCAATGTGTTTTATCTGCCCACATACAGCTTTTAATTTCTCTAAGAGAGTGGGAGACACAAAATGGGCAGGATGACCCAAAAAACAAACATTTAATAAGCCATCAAATACAGACTGTGCCCACATTAGCTGGTGGGACTACATTGGAAGGTCTTATCAAAAAGATGGCGAAATTTGTCAGGTAAAAGGAACAGCCTATGTTGACACTATGTGATAAAAGTTGCCAGTTATTTACCTATTTTTGACCTAATTTGTTTTCTGTTTGAGATTGCAGAATGTGTGTTCGCTTCTCCGTTCTGCACAGCTTGAGAGTAAATAACTTGGAAATAGATATCTCAAATTATATCTTTGATATCTCTGTTGTTTATTGTAGATGCCACCGAGATTAAATGAAGATTCTCATGCTCTTTGTCTACTTGAGAGATCCAGAAGACCCTACTGTAATGCCAAAAGTCTGCAATCAGAAATAATTGTTATCCTATCTACATTAATTGTACTCTTACTGTATCTTACAATTGTCAGTGGGAGTCTGAGAAATCTTTCAGACTCGTACTGAAAACTCCATTAAGTCAACCTTTGGCAACTGTCAGGTTACAATTTAAGGCATGTAATGTGAACGTCGCCAAATCTAGCACTGTTTATGGTGGCCGCCAGTCAAAGCAAATGAAGCTTACGGAGTCATTTTAATGGCCATTGACTTGGTTCGATACTGTGTTTATTCCTGATGAGAGATTGATGGGTTTGTTGCAGGCAACATCTATTGCCACTTAATGCCTAGCTGCAAATCTTGAGGTCTTATTTCTAAGATGGATGCCGACCATACTGTATGCACTGGCTTCATGACATGTCTGTGTGTCGTATTTCACATATAATACAATATAGTGTGCTATTTATTTGTTTGTTTGTTTGCTGAGTGGGGCATACTTAAAAGTCACATACAAACAAACCCTCAATAAAGCAAGTAGGCTTTGAATGTGCGAGTTTGAAATCAGCAGGGATTTACTTCCTACAGTGATCCCGTAATAAAGTGAAGGAGCCATCCTAGCTCGTCTTTATGCAAGCTGACGCCAGTCAAACAACAAACAATGATTAACTGTGATCTAGAGATTAAATCCACCCACCTGTATCATTATCTGAGCTTGGCCCATACAAATGCAGTTGTTTATGAACCCAAATTTGTGCATTCTATCAAAGACACATTTCATCTCTCATCTGGACACCTCTTAGATTAATATATCATCATGCACGATTCACCCAAGAAATGCACAACAGAGCATGAGAGAAGAATGAAATAATTCTGTCATTGATCACAATGAATCCCTAAGACAACCCACGTCAACCAAAGAAAACAATATAAAATAGCCCCATTAGAGTTAATGAATCCATCAGGAAAGGAAAGGATTAGTCTTTATGTCGGATCGATGGAAGGGGGAAAGGGCGGTGAATGGAGACGTGACGCACTGATTAATGGTTCGAGGGAACACGTGAGTGTATCTGTCTGTCGGCTCAAACAGAGCACATGATTGAGAGAGAATGTGATAATTACATACATGACTGTTCTTTTCTTCCATTAGGTTTGATTCTGGGAGCCAAAATATGGTTATATTTTGTAGAAAACAGGAATGGTACTTGAGTTTTTAGATTCTATATTTAAAAAAGGTAACATTTTATTTTGATAGTCTGCTAACTGGCATATTAGTAGAGTATTAGTAGACTATCTGCTTAATATCTGCAATCAGATGCTCCCCAACAGACTAACTAACTTTGTAAGTACATGTCAACTTATTCGGCTAACCTGAACTCTAACCTAACAATCTACTAATACTGTTTACATGTACTTGCAAATGAATGAGAGTTAGTTGACATAAAGTTGTGTACTGTTGACATAAACCAATAACTACATTTAATGAGACCACCCCTTTTAGGTTTCAACAGTACTGACTTGGTGATCTCTGACAGTCAAGTCGCTGCTTTCAAACCTTTACATGTGTATTTATATGAATGGTTAGATTATCATGTACCATTTTAATTGATTTAAGTACTTTAATTTTAATTCTATGTGTTTATTTATTTTGTTGAGATTTCTTTACGAATAGTTTAATGATCAGATACTGACGCTTTTGCCAATCCGTAGACATCCAACACACATGGCACCCTTTGGCGTCAACATAACACACTTCGGTTATGGGTAGGTTTAGGTCTGGGGTAGGGTTAGGGTTAGACCACTAGGAGGCGCCTTCTGCCCCATATATATCTGTGTCTCATATTGACGCTAAAGGGTGCCATGTGCGTCGGTTGTCTACGCATTGGCAAAAGCCCTCAGTATATGACGCCTTGGGATGAAAACGGGCTGTGTATGATATGGCATCAAAACTGGATTAGTATCAGCTACTGAAATGTTTATGTTGTAAAAATCTTAGCAGAAAAGGACATTTGACTTTGCTCTTTGAGTGTTGCCTTCAATGGATTTTTCTTTTTTGCTCTCTCACAAAACATGTTCTTTGAAGTGAGCAGCACAAATCCGGAAGCTACTGTTTGGATTACTGATGTGTCAAGAGTGTAAATAAAACAATGCCTCAAAATCGGAATTGGGCTGTGCTCTTTATGTCCAAGCATGCCTGTGCGGTCTCCCTGTCTGGTTATGGATATTCACGTTTACACCAGCAGTCCACACAATGCATATTCATGACTTTTATTTGTTTGTTTGTGGCAGTATTGAACTGATGTCTTTAATTAGAAGCAGGAGCAAAAGGACCTCCACGAAGAATGTAGGGGCCGATACGAATCAGCCTCTTTTGTCTGCTGATTTATTAAACATATTGTTTGCGATTTCTCATTTTAATCAATGTTCTCCCAAACTGAAACAGCTCTGAATGAGAGAAGCCTCTTCCATGAATAGCTGAGTAGGCTGATATTGAAATGTGGAGCTTTGAGCTGTTGTAGTCGCCTCTTTTTTTATGTGTGCAGCTGCTAGCTTGGAGTACGTAGTCGTAGATGTGTCAATTTTCTTTATTGGACGCAGTGTTACTTGTTGACGCAGGCAAGACTGATAAAAGGAGCAGCTGTGCAGTTTTATCCTGTAAAGTGTCATTCATGTCAAAGCAATGCACCTCCGCCCTTGTACCCGAAGCTTGCTTTTAAAGTGCTCTTTTGTCTAAAGCACGGGCTCTCGGCAACTCGAAAAAAAATTACATGCCATAAAAAAAAGAGAGACGGAGAGAGCGCAGGACTTCATTGAAATTCTTCATGGCCCTCTGAGCGCTGGCCCTCCATTGATCCGCATAAAGAGCTAGATGGGGCCGGCTCGCCTCGGATTGGGTCGGCCCTCGGCTCCCGGCCGTGACTGTTAAACTGCAGCTGATGTGCCGTTAAGTGCCGCTCTCTGTCTCTCTTCTCATAATCGCGAGTCCCGCAAGCGCAGAACCTCTTCTCACCTCCCAACCCCCACCCCGGCTTCAATTCACCCTCTCTTCCTCTTTGACCACTTTTAAAGCTCTTCTCCCAGTGTTTACACTGCCAGGACCCATCTCCCAGGAGCCTGATAATGACAAACTCGGTAGCGGAATGAATTTATCAGGGCTCAGTTGCCTATTGGGGTCTAATTAAAGGCCACTATCAGTGCCAAAAAGGCACCGAGCAGCAGCCACCAAAGGTCAGAGGCAAAAAGACCTGCGATCTCCAGCGGAATACATATTTAATTGTAAGGATCAGCCAAGCAACTGTTTTTAAAGAGGCCAACTGGGCTTTACGTCATGCTTTGCACTGGAAATTTCCCAGGGCGCTTGGCAGAGCTGTGATAGAAAAAAAATGGAGTAAAACGTTGAATTCCCCTTTATGCGACGCATCGAATTTAGGGAATCAAGTCTCTAGGCCTTTGCTAATCTACACTTTTCAAAGTGATGCTTACACCTGCTCTTTCCACACAAGGACTGTAATCCAGGAAATCCAATGTAAATGTCATAAAGAGGGACCAACTGTTTCTGATCAACCTGAATAAGTCCATGATGTTCAAAGTCTGTAGGTGGAAGGAATGAGAATCCAATGGTTGTTAGCTTAAGCAATTAACCAAACAAGCAGCACTTTGCTAGTCGAGAAGAGCCTCACACTTCACACGCTATTAACAGTTAAAAGTACTTAAGAGGTTATATTTTAGTTGCTCTTGTCCTTCTGCGCCTGACACCAATTGGATAGTTTTTAAAAAGCAATCACACCCTCTAGCTTAAACTTGTGTACCAAAGTCAACTTTAATTACAAAAGCCTTGTTTAAAACCAATTTGGTTATTTGAGAGGCAGATGAAGACCGGCTGCTAGTTGAAGTGTAAAATTCAAATAAAATTAGCTGGAGCTGTCGACACGTTTGCCTCTCGCTCTGGCACTAGGGTAAATTGTTTGCATTTTAAAACAAGCTTATTTGACCATAAAAAGGCTGTTATGAATGTCCATACTAATGCAGGTTAGTGTCAGTGGCAGATGACGCTTAGTAGGTTTGGATGGTCGACTGGAATGATCTATCCTGTAATAATGGTTAAGCAAGCAGAACCTGATTTTACCAAGTGGATCAATATTCCAATCAACCAGTCATATTTGAAGGGTAAATGTACAGTTTTTGTCAGGTTTAGGCTTAAAACTATGATTAGGTGCTTCTACATCAGTATAATTCACCTATAATGTCCGTCTGATTTTAGGAATCATTTCGGGATATGGTTATGGTTAAATTTTCAAACATAGTTTGTTGTTCCAGGATCAATCAGAACATGCATCTTGGGGGGACGGTGAAGCTTGTCAACTGGCATTGTTTCATGTAAACCTGGGAAGTTAGTAAAGTTACTTGATTTGCACAGGCTTTCCTGTAAAGTGGTTATCAAAGTGGTGTTCAGGCCTATTCTCAGGTTATGTGTCACCTAAACAAAATGAGGTCTTTTCTGTTAAGCTACCAGTGTGGTCTTTCTGGTGAGGCTAGCTAAGTTGTATATATACCTGGTTAAGCTTTTTTTTTGTTAGGCTCGACTAGGCCAGGGCAGTCTTTCTTGTAAAGTTGTAAAGCTAGATGACCAGCATTGTCTTTTTTTGCGAAGATGTTTAAGTTCACAAGTTCACACTTACATGTAATTAGAGTAGATGAGATTAAATGCATATTTGCCGTGCTGTCCAAGGGGAAGGCTACAAGCTCGGAGTTTGGCCCGAACCCAGAGTACTCCCTATGTAAGTGTTTAGGTCTGAAAGTGTGGAGAAGGGGCGGTGGAGGGATGCTGCTAAACTATCGATGGAGTGAGGTGAGATTGCTGAATCTATATATACCTCTTATCATTGATTTCTGAGTGCACTCCACTCGTGTTAATTAACTGAACGTGCTCCTCCCGAACTTTGTTAATGAAACATCATTTAATCAACGAGGTCTTACAAGTGAAGATGAATGGTTAAGCAAATCTACCATGATGCTCTTTATTTTATATTGTATAATTTTAAAACTACTTAAGAAGCTGGATGGTTAGAATAGCATCGAAATCATAACATAAACTGGCAACTTTCATGATTCTGCCAACAGATTCTGCCTCTGATTTCCATAGTCTTGTGGCAGGATCATGGCAGAACCATGTTTTGTGTGTTGTTTGGGCCATGTGCTTGTGTTGTCTCATTAGATACCTGCCGCCTTGTTATCCCTGTCTTGTCATTATTACCTAGTCTGTGTCACCTGTTCCCCTCATTAGTTTCTCCCTATTTAATCCCCTGGTGTTTGCTGTCCTGTGTTGGTACATTGTCAACCTTTGCGTGTTACTCTTTGTCTGAGTCCTGTGTGTACTTTGTCTGAGTACCGTGAGTACTTTGTCTGAGTCCTGTGAGTACTTTGTCTGAGTAATGTAAATACTTTGCCTGAGTCCTGTGAGTACTTTGCCTGAGTCCTGTGAGTACTGTGCCTGAGTCCTGTGAGTACTTTGCCTGAGTTCTGTGAGTACTTTGCCTGAGTCCTGTGAGTACTTTTTCTGAGTCCTGTGAGTACTTTTTCTGAGTCCTGTGAGTACTTTGCCTGAGTCCTGTGAGTACTTTGCCTGAGTCCTGTGAGTACTTTGTCAGAGTCATGTGAGTACTTTGCCTGAGTCCTGTGAGTACTTTGCCTGAGTCCTGTGATAACTCTGTCTGAGTCCTGTGAGTACTTTGTCTGAGTCCTGTGAGTACTTTGCCTGAGTCCTGTGAGTACTTTGCCTGAGTCCTGTGAGTACTTTGCCTGAGTCCTGTGAGTACTTTGCCTGAGTCCTGTGAGTACTTTGTCTGAGTCCTGTGAGTACTTTGCCTGAGTCCTGTGAGTACTTTGCCTGAGTCCTGTGAGTACTTTGCCTGAGTCCTGTGAGTACTTTGTCTGAGTCCTGTGAGTACTTTGTCTGAGTCCTGTGAATACTTTGCCTGAGTCCTGAGAGTACTTTGCCTGAGTCCTGTGAGTACTTTGTCTGAATCTCATATTAATAATTGTGAGTTTGTGCTCTTCATCTTCATTATCAGTCAGTATCTAGTCCTAGTTTATTTCCTGTCTTAGTCTAGGTGTACTGCCCTTCTGTTTTGTTTTGCCCCCTTGTGTTTTTGTTTTGTTTACTGTTTTGTGCCTCAATAAATCCCAGTGTGTCTGCATATCGTCTGTGTTTAGGTTCTCTCCTTCAACCTGAAAGGTGAACAGGTAACAGTAATACACTTTGAAAGGTAACATTTTCAGTAGAGTTTGTTAAATAAGTCTAAACTGTTTGTGACTTTATTACCTGCAAGATCTCTTCCAATGCCCAAAGCGAGGCCATCTTTGATCCACAGCACAACACCATGGTATCCCGGGATGGAGCAGGGTAGCGTCACAGGCTGACCAGCCACAACTACCAAGTCCTGAGGCTGCTGTGAGAACACGGCATTCGCTCCTGAAACAAACCAAACAGAAAGAGTGAGTTTAACATTCATGTTTTAACTGCAGCCTTCTACTTGTGCAGCTCTTTTTTTTCATATGGAGGTGGCTTAAACACATCAGATCCATTATGAAGTGGTTAATGTTACATGACCTCATTTGAAAATGTATGCAATGAATAACTCTCAAGTACTCAAGTGTGATTAACACGCAATGTTGAAGTGTACTAAAGGAATCTTTTCAGCCTGTCAACATTGGATCTTTCACACACAGAAAAGTACATGAAGCAAATGAACTCCATTAGAGATGAGTGGCCTGAGAAGGCTGTCAGCAATAACACTGTGAGATGCAAGACGCCTCTTAAAGAAAGGTGATCACGGATACAAGAACAAGCATTCTAGATGCAGTAAGAGAAGGAAAATAGCTGCCGTATTCGTGTATTTTTCCACCGCTGGGCACAAAGATACCAGCACCTGTCACTCGGGCGGTCCAGGTTTGACTGGTTAGCATTGGCAGTTGGCCCCAAAGATTTTTCTGTCTCCAAAGGGAATCTAGTTAGAAGACAAATGTCTTGTATTTCAAACTCCAGTGGTACATATTGCATGTGCAGTCACAAACACGCACTTTCAAAAATACAATGGTTGACATCGGCTATCAATATTGCAATGAGTTGTCTCAGTGGAGAGATGACGAGTTTCTTGCTGGCAGTACTGATAATAATGGGAGTCGCACTGGCAGTCATGCTGAACTCTGCAGTTGTCCCTGATGTGTGCCTATCTACAATTGAAGAAGATGGCTCATATTTCTCATTCCACTTTACATCTCAGTGCACTTCTTAATCAATACTCATTTCTGTGGAACACATACCACCCTCTGTTTCTTGATGTATTGTATGTGTGTGTGTTTCTAACTTAAGTTACACTTTACTAAAAAGAAATAAGCAAAATATATGACAAAACAAACTTTGGATGATGTTGATCCCTTACAAAAAATGTACTGGTCGGAACCATCTGATGGTAACTATGTTGCTTCATAATTACAATTTTCACAAAAAATATTATTATAATTGCCAAAAACAAACAATCCAATAAATTTAAAAAACAAGCTTCGCTGCCATCCAAAATGTATTTGAATAGCACCTTTCACAATACACATCGTTTCAAAGCAGCTTTACAGAAAATGCACGAGTCCACAGAGTGATCTGTTATCTGTTATAATAAGAGTTAATGTTAGAGTTTTGCAATGGATATTTTTATTTTATTCTCTATTTTTTTGCTTTACCTTTGCATGTCAAATAAAAAAGTTCATCTTTTAAAATAATTGAGAACGTTTTCTTTTCCGCTCTGTCGAGCAGTTAATGAACACAAGAACCTGCCGTGTGTGCGCACACTTCTGATCGGAGGGTCGTGGACATGCAGCTAATAATACACGGTTGAGACTGACTGATTCAGACGAATATGAAAATATGTCATTTTGCAGATTGCTATTGGAGTTAGGGTCAGTCCGTACTCTGTTGTAACAAATTACCTTTATTTGAAAACAGTTGGAGTCTATATGCAAATTAGGGACACATCTGTGTGCGAGTATGTAAGAAATGTGCTAATACCTATAAAACATGACATTTTCTAGATGAATGTTAAATTAAACACACAGGGAGGAAATAATTAATTGCCAGAATCCAGCAGGATGTCTTTAACGCTGTGAATTCCATGGATTAGTAAACAAATCAGTCATACCTCTGTCCTGCCTCCAGTAAAATGTGATGAATGGCTTGTTAAAAGCTAAACATGAGTCCACAGATTGATTTATACAAATTCTCCCTGGCGAAATCCAACGTCTGCTGCTCCAACAAGCCATTATTAAATCAACAACTGCAAAGATGCGCTATGAATTCTTGTAAATATATTGGGCTGTTCATCTTTGAAGGCCAGCAGGCTTGCCTGGACACTTCAGCGTTTCTCATTCTGTACTGTAAGCTGGTTTATTTGTATGTGTGTGTGTTTGCTGTGAAGGTCCTCTGTTGATTACTCAGGTACGCTTTGCAGAGACTATAGGAACTGTGAATCGCAGCAGATCCGCTTCCAGGCTGCTGAGAGACATCAGGTTTCCGCTTGTCTTGTCACATTAAAGAAATACTGAGTATAGATGAATGCTTCATTGCTCTTCTTTCTTTTTTGCTGTCTCTTCCACTGCGAGATTCGTATTATTATTGTATTATCGTATCGTCCATTCTGTGCAGTAGCCGATTGACCCCTCTGCGGTTATTGCGCTCAGTGGACTTGTTAACTTCCCTCAAATACCCACCGCACAATTTAGCTTGATTAGGAAACGATTGACCCTCTCTGGACTTGGATTCCAACACATTTCAAATTATTATGATGAACGCTAATTATTTTTACAATAACAATAACAAAATAAAAATGTAGAGATTGCTTTTATGAATCCCTTGACCTCCATCTTTAAGACACAATCACATGCGAGTAAAATTTTTAGAAAGAGAGTTTGCCAGAGAGGTGGAAAATAATGATTTGCTACTGGTAAAACAGAGACAAGGGGTTTCCACACCCAAAGTATTTATAGCGGAGAGTTCATTATGGGGTTAGATGGATAAAAATAGGAAAATGCATAGTTAATTGTTAGCCAACAATGCTTATGGTTAGTGCAATGAATCCTTTAGTCCTAACAGTAGTGGCATGGCCTGCTCTTTGGTTAAGACATTCCAGTTTTAATTAAGGTAGAACATTGAATATTGTAGAATATTGAAAAACAGGCAATCTTAAGTATATGATTCTCTGTGAACTGATCAATTCACGAACACAACTACTATGTTGACGGAGGAGCAGATTTGGTTTTTAATAGCTTAAATGTGTGAACTGCATTAATGGTCATATTTGGTGGTATTCAAAGTGGATGGCAATATGGTAGAGTGCCAATTAATGCCTTTGATATTGTGATCACAATTTTTAATGTTGATTAATAGTATTTAGTCTTTGCAAAACCCAATTTTTCATTCTGTACATTATAATGCCACAATAGCTAAATTGACATTGTCTCCGTTATTGTCAATAAGGGCCATTGCACACTGAGTCCGCAATTCGCGTCCGAAATTTCCGCACGTTAAAAAATAAATACGACCTTACGTTATGTCAATCACGCTTGCACACTGTCTCCGAAACTTTCGTCCGTCATAAAAAAAACTGAATCAGGTTCGATTTTCTGCGTTTTTCGCATCTCTAGCAAGCAGTTGGAATGGAGTTTGAATGGTGTTTTGACAATTCAGAGCCACCGAATCACGAATACGAAAAAAAAAAAAAAAAAACGCATACGAAAATTTCGGACTCAGTGTGCAATGGCCTTAACGTGGAAATGACTTGACGGTCACAATTATTATAATGGTGCATCCTTAATCATAATGTATTTTCCCCCCTGTTGAACAGTCCTACTATACTGTACTCCCTCAGTTTATAAACCTTACTCACAGATTCATACATTTTTCCCTCAGTTTTACAAAACCCGCACAGATTAATTAACCATAACCCAAATTTCCAATCTGTGCCCTCAGTTTTGTAAACCGTAATACTTATGAACTGATAATAACAGACATTTGTATTTTTATTAAGCAAATGTTAACAAATATCAAAATGCACTTCTGTTTAATTTCAGAAAAACTGCATCTCAAGGAATACAAAAAAGGTGTCTGCTACCATAACTATCAGTGTGGTCACTAATGGGAGTGAAAAGTCTGGTCAGGGAGGTTAACACATCCTTCCGAGTGATCTATTTGAGGCACTGCACCACCTGGTTCATCCACTCGGACAGCAAAACACCGGCCTGTTTGATTTCCTCCAAACCACCTCAAGCGGCAGGAAAACATATGTAGGTCAGTGAAGAGGAGGATGTAGAAAAATGGGTGATGAATAGGGTGGGTTGAACCAGGGGGCTTAAGTTCACCCACTCTGGTGGAGGAATTCACGGGCGTTTGGAGCTCAGCGACGCATCGGTCGCATCTGGCAGTATTCCGCTTCGGTGCTCATGTCGCCGTCCTCAGAGCAGACCCTTCCTCTTCTCCCTCATCTTCACGTCGTTCGAGGCTTCCAGCTGCACAGTCATCCGTGCGTGGAGGAGAGTGACGTGGAGGAAACAGATTATACTGCTTTATAACACCCTATGAGTCATCTGAAGCAAACCTGGGCAAGAGAAAGACAATCGAACAAAAACTATTCTTGCTGATCATGAATGATTAATGCTAATAATCGAAGTACCGGAGTGGGCGGGAGTTACACTAATCCACTTTATAAATGCTTTATTAGGGGAATAATCCCAATAAGATGCAGTCTTCTGAAGTAAAGTGAGGTGTAGCATGTGTGTGTGTTGATATTCCGGGCATGAATCCTGGCGGATCTGTCAGTGGGGTCTGTTACGACTGCAGGCAGTGCCTTGAGGGGCTCTCCTCCCTCCAGCTGCGTACACACACACTTCAAATTGACCATAGCGTGTTAGACCTGGATCCCTTTTCATTTTAACTACACCAATCAGGTTAACAAATTATGAGTGATGCAATTTGTTAAAAAAACAAAATAGGTCGCTCTTATCCAGACACTCCATTCAGATTTCATCCTCGCCCTTCCAGGCGACATCTGAGTTGTACCATGCGTGGTCTTGTCTTCAAGTGATAAATGGAGGTCATGTTGCTTCCAATGGTAGAAGTTTCTCCAGCCAGACTTTTTTTTTTTTTTTTTGTGAAATGTGTCAGACGCTCGCTCAGTGAACGGGTGATACATTATAAATGATAGTTTTTGCATGTACATGTATGTCTTCTCAAATAAGGGCGACACATTGTGATTTCAGCACATATAGCTAATTAACCCTTTGGTCAGTAAAACATTTGGGATATATAATGTTATATTAACCTGTTAAAAACAGACCTCCCTGGTACCGGGGCAACTGGGCTTAAGCAATTTTTAATGAAAATATGGTGATGAAACTATTTAATGTTGAAATAATGTGTGAATATCA